GAGCAGTATATACAAGTGATGCGAACATTGCCACAAGTGTCGTAGTTAAGATATATGGCAAGAATTTGGAAGACATACTAGTTTGAAATTATGATAATATAATTTTTAGAATGTCTTGTTTAAAAATCTTTTTATTATTCCTTAAGTTAATGATTATCATTTGAAAAGTTGCTCTTTTATAGCCAGCAAAAGTTAATTTGGTCCCCTTTAGTGCTGCCTGGAACTGACTTTGGAACTCTTTTTGTTTATTTTACTGCTTTTACTTTTATTTTGATTACAGTACAATTAAACATATGCTCCGGGACAACAAATTACATGCACAGTTATTTTAGACCACCTGCCAGGTGCAGTCTAATATACATGTAAATAAATATTCATGCACTTCATAACGTGAGCATTATAATGCTGCCCAGTTGCAATCAATATCTTCAAACCAATAGTTGACTTATTACTTCATGTAGCTTGAACTTGAGAAACAAAACAAAGAAAACATCTAAGTCTGGCTGGCTGGCTGGCTGTGAGTGGCTATACATTATCATGATAATGTTTATAAAAGTAAAGAATATCATTAAGACCTCAGTTTAGCACACATGCCATGCAAGCATGCATCAATATTTATAACCTATATAGTAATATGCATGGTAAACTAGAAACTAGAATGTTGTATGCATCAGTACAAAACATCACAAATTGACTTCAAATTAAGTCATATGTACAAAACAAATATTTAACGACAGCTAACCTAATCCTTTTTTGAAATACTGACATCAATTCCTAATGAAAATCATTTTAAATTGTACAAAGCTTTAAGTTACAATTCATTCAGGCATACAAGTTTAGACATGTGCTTAAGTCTTATAATAACATTAATTCATACATTAATAATCAATCATTCTGTCCTTTAAGAAGAGTATGAACTTTACCTTTGAACTATAGCTGTCCTTGCGGCATGCAGTCACTGTTGGTAATAATAATGAAGCAGTAGAGCTTTTTCTTCAACTAGAAATTGTTAATATTAATGATAATGATGAAGGCAAGACAGCACTAATGTTAGCTTGTGAAGAGGACATTGTGTCATTGTACACAATTTACTGTCAGCTGGAGCTCCATACAGCATTCAAAACAGCAATGGATGGACTGCACTGATGATGGCAAGTGAACAGAATCATAATTATTTCAATCATTCTCATGCTATTACATGCTACTGGTCTAATGAAGTCAAATGGATCAAATGGCTTAATGATTGCTAGTTACCATGATAACTATGAAGTTTTTGAGCTACCGATTAGAGTAGAGGAGCTGATTATGAAGTAAATGCTTTTATGTTAATTAACTTGTCAAAATGGCTTGACTAAAATAGTTGAACTATTTCTGAAGGTACAAGTTCATCCTAATCCTAAAAAAGATGGTTGGAATGCTTCTGTGTTGGTTTGTCAAAATGATCTCACTCAAATAGTTAAGTTGTTGCTGGGGTGACTGTCACAAGTTGATCCTAATTTTCTGTCAGCTTGTAAAAAATGGTCATACTAAAATCACTGTTGCTGAAGGAAAAGTCAATCCTAATGTTCAAATGAAAAATGGTTGGAATTCTTTCATGTTGGCTTGTCAAAATGGACGCACTCAAACAGTTGAGTTGTTACTAAAGCAAAAACTTGATCCTAAAGTTCGAGAGAAAGATGGCTGGAATGCTTTTATGTTGGCTTGTGAAAATAGACACAATCAATGAGTTCAATTGTTGCAAAAGGAACACATTTATCTCAATGTGCAAGACAAATATGGCTGAAATGCTTTTATGATAGTTTGTGAAAATAGTCACACTAAAATTGTTGAACCATTATTGAAACAAGTTTATCTTAATGTTCAAAGGTATAACGTTTAGAATGCTTTTATGTTGGCTTGTCAAAATAGATATAATCGAATAGTTGAACTCTTGCCAAAGAAACAAATTAATACTAATGTTCATAATTAATACTAATGATATCACTGTTTTAATGTTTCCTAGTGCTGAAAGTGAAGGACAAAATGAAAATATAAAATGGAAAGCTGATATAACAATTCACTTCCATGATAGCTAAAGTGTATTACCAGTATTTAGCTAAGACTGTAGTTAAAGTAGTTGCCTGTACATATTTTTTCTATTAAAAAAAATTTTTACACAGATTGGGTGCACTATAAATGGATATATCTGGTGCAGAGGAGGCTGTGCAGCTTGCATGATCATTTTCTATTTCTACATGTACTCTAATTCATTCAGTACTAAACTGTTTAGAAAATAATAATAGACAGACAACACAAGGTCTGAAGCCCCAATAATAAATGTGCAAGTAGGTGAATAACTCATGATTTAATAGGGGCATACACATTAAAGTGAGAGTAGGTCCTAATTGGACAAAATGAATGGCAGCCTCAACACTTAGCTATACATGGTTCTCACTACATGCTAATCACTGGCGAGGCCAATGAAATTGTTGAACTATTTGATAAAGGAGTTGATTAAAAGAACACTTTTTGGCTAGTCAAAATAGACACATTCAAATAGTTAACTGTTGGTCAGCAAAGAATTTGATCCTAATGTTCAAAGGAATATTATCATACCCATAATTGTTATGTATATAGTTAACACTGATGTATTCTATTGCATAGAAGAGATTGCTTAGCAACCTTAACACTTACTATCATGAATTAGTTCTTTTCAAACACTACATACTGTCATGATACTGATTACTGAGAGACAAGAAGAATTAGAATTATGACAATTATTATTTTATCTAAGATATATTTCATCTAACATGTGTTTCATGGTTGCAATTATAAAATAGCTTAAAATATGGCTATAGGCTAGCACAATTAATAATTAATAAATGCACAATCAGTTAAAATAATATTTTTTAATTATAGTGTTAAATAGAATGAATAAAAATTATTAAGTTTATTCATCAATATCAAATCCAGATCCACTTTCTTCCTCTTCTTCTTGATTCTTTTTGCTACCTTCATCTCTAATGCTAGGACATTCAAACTGTAGTTTGAATCCCGTGCTTTGTGTTGAGTCCTTCTCACTCAAAAACAATAGCAAGAAGTCTGATGTCTTGATGTGTCTGTTAGTGATAGAGTTTATTTCATTACCAGTTATTGGCTGGTAGTGACTATGAGTCTTGTAGTCAATGATTTCTAATGAATCTCCTTTAGCAATATCTAATACTGAAGAATATTTTGAGATTGAGATGTGGCTGTCTTTGCATGGCATGCTGATATTGTATACACAAACTTCATTTCTTAAGTAATCACTGCATCCATATCGTGGTGATTTAGCAATTGAAATGCCTCGACTATCAATGAATC